AAAGCCGCAGGAGCCGAAGAGGGGTCGATGTGCTGAGCCTGGACCTTCGGTAGCCGCGCAGGTGACCCCTTTGCGAGTTAACTGTCTTTCTTCCCTTTAGCAGCCAGCAAGTTCTCTGTCAGGGCGCGGGGTGCGGAAAGTCAGGACAGGATGAGGGATAGTTCAGCATCCAGCTCAGCTTCTTCATCAGTGACAGATCTGTACTGCACCCCCTCCAGCAGTAGGTCACACCTCTTCCTCCCGAGTACAGCAGGAGACTTCAGCTTGAGTGCCAGCTTATCAGCTTGTATGAGGCCTTATGAGGTACCTTCCAACAGGGTGCCCTTCTGGGCTCAGAAAATCTTGGGGAGTGAGCATTATTTTATTTGCTTTGTGAGTAGTTCTTAAGTAAACCTTGCATCTTCCTTTCAAAATAAAGAGTTAGCTTGAAAATGTCTGAGTTCGCGTGTTCTAGTGGGACTTCCAGCCCACTTGTTGTGTTTTCCCTTGGCTGGGAGTTAAGAGAGAAATGCAGAGTACAGCCTACCAACGTAGCAGGACACAAATCATCCTGTTCTACCAGCTGGAGTTACTGATATTTGTGTTATGCTGATTTCTAAGGAGTCCGTACCAGGTTTTTACTATGGTAGGCAAACATAGCCTAAAAAACGCAACCCTGACACTTAGTGTTTATGATATAAGAAAAGAGTTAAGGTAGATAAAAATGGAAAAAGTAATGGTCTCAATATATGGTGACTTAAATGGTTTTATGGACAGTTTTCCTGAGTGGTGATCTGGACAATCAAACTCTCCTTTGCACCCTCCTTCCCTCTCCTTCATACAGAGAATAACAAACTAGGAAACAAACTTTTATATGCTTTACTTGCTTTTACTTCAGATTTTGGGAGATTTCGCGTCAGCATTGAGATATGTGCGTATTTGGTACATACCAGTCTGTGAAAGAATAAACAGGCTATGGGTGAATATAAGATGCATCAATTTTTAGAGTTAGGAAATGTGGATCTGCCCTATTCCACCTCACAAAAAAAACCAAAACAAAAAAAAAAAAAACCCAACCAAAAACCAAACACCGACCCAACCCCAAAAAACCTCTATCTTTCATTCCTTAACAGACAGCAAAATCAATAAAAACGTGAAAATAATTTGGTGTTGATGGGGGCAAGATGGTTGGTATTTTTTGTCCTTTCTAAGGTCGAATCATGCAATTTACCCTAAATTGGGTGTTGCTTATGGTCATGTGCTTATCTGCACATACTCAGCATTTCATAAGAAGACATTCAGCTTGGTTTTCCTGAGTTTAAATCGGTAATACCTAGGGGGAATGTTCAGCACACTTCTGACTAGGGGAAGGAAAAGAATTTCCTGAGAGCATAAATATTTTGTTTGTGGGACTGCATAGTAAATTGGTCTTAAATGGGAACATGCGCAGGTATTGTATTGATGCAGCTGTACTGAGGTCACTATACTGGTATGATTCCTCATGTGGTTCAAAGCAGTGCGAGATCTACTGGGAGAATAAAATTCTGTTGTTCCTGCAAAAGAGAATCTACCTAAACAGTTGGACTCGGATAACTATGGTAGGATTGTTCAACTGATGGTAAATTTTTGCCGTGCAGATAAATTTTTCCCCAGTATTTGTTGGAAACTGTGGAATTGCCATTCTGCATTCTGTTCTTTAAATTTTTTAATACTTTTAAAAAGTGTAACAGTTGTTGTCTCCCCCCCCCAATATTACTTTTAAGCATTAAAGCAGCTTTGAAAGGTTCTGGTGAGTTTTTTGGGTACTTTTTGACTTTTGGAGCTTCTTGAGCTGAGTATTAATACCTGCTCTTGCTCAAGGAAGAGAAATGGAATGTCATCTGGAATTTAGCATGAGATACTTTGTAAAATCAGATTTATTGACACCTTCACTTTCTTGCTTCATAATCTACCAAACAAAGTAAAACGCTCTGTGCGAATGCTGAGCCTTAGTGCTGCTTGATTTAGACAAAGTGTCATGCTGAGTAGTGGTGTTGCTAGAGAAAAATCCTAAACGTGTCTAAAGGCTGAGGGGTGTGTTTTCATTTTTAAAATTTAATGTGTATTTAAGCAAGTCCTTAATAGATTGAGTCACTTAGTTGTTTCCTGCTCAAATGTAACAAGCTACTTTTGACCTCATTTTACTGTTCTAGGGTGCAGTAGAGCCCATGCAGATTGACGTAGATCCACAAGAAGATCAGCAAAATGCACCTGATATCAACTATGTGGTGGAGAACCCCACTCTGGTATGTGCTGGTTGAGGGCTGGTGGGTTACATTTATTGGGCATGGCCTTTTCCTTTAAGGTTTTTGAAAAAGTCCCTCATTTTCCTCCTTGTCAAATTGTTATTTAGAGATTAATAGATTCTCTTCAAAGCAAGGTGGGGTAAGAATAGCAGTGAGCTCTTCTGTAGCTCATCACATACTGACCTCTGCTGCACCTTCTGAGATGAAGGAGGAATTGCTGTTTTGTGACTTGCTGTGTGCTGCCTGTTTGACAGTTTCCATTCTGAAATAGTTTAGTACATCTCTGATTATTTACAGAGACATCATTCCTTTATTTTGAGGCTTGTTCTTTGAGGAGCAAGGCTCAGGTGCTTTAAGTATATAATTAGGATAGAATTCTTTCATTGTTTGATCCTCTGGAGACTGGCTGAAACCACAGAGCTGTAGAGTTATAAAAGGCTGTATTTGCTTATATCAACTTCCTCAATTTTTATTTAATGGTTTAAGATTTTGGCCGATTTTTATGTATCAGCTCTGTAACAGTGAGAGATGGGTGTTGCAGAAGAAAACAAAAATGTTAGTTGGAAAAAGTTAAAGCAACATTAAAATTGCAAAATAAAGCATTCAGTTAGGAAGCTTTGGATCTCACATAACCTCTGAAGCTTTAATTTGTTCCTCTTGTCCCTGTACCGTATAACAGTTGTCACATGGTTCTTCACTGTTTAGTGCACAACCCTCTTTTTTTTGTTGTTGTTTTTTTTTGTGTGTTTTTGGTTGGTTTTGGTTTTTTTCAGCGTATGACCTGATACCTTGTTTGATTTCATTGCATTTCAATTCTGTTCTGAAGCTGGAGTGATGACGCAATTATGTTGTGACCTTTATGTCGTTGTTATTACTATAGCATGTAAGTGTTCCGCAAAAATTAGTGATTATCTTTTCACCATAACTGATGTGAAGGACCATAATTCCCCTTTGACATTCAAAGAGCTGAGGAGTAAAGTAAAATTACTCAGTGATTTCAGGAGTATTGTGCACAATCAGGCATGAAACTGTGGAAGAAAGAATGTTCCTGCCTTTATATTTTTCAAATGCTGTAGCAAATAAAGCAGGAATCCTAAACACAAATTTTAAGGGCACACAGTCCTGTTTCAGTCTCAGAGCAAGATCATTCTTGCACCGAATCAGGCAATAATCATGTGACATCTATAGCGGTATCTTAATTTAGACATACAGGGGTGAGGGAGTCAGACATGACACAGGATGCATACTAAATGTGGACAGGCAACCTGAATCTAGTGTTTCCTACTGCCTGAATGCTTGACTTCGCGCTGAACATTCTTCTATGGTTGTTTGCATCTGTACTTCTGTCTTTAGGAAATCTCCCTGCAATGTCGTATCATATCTTTACTAGACGTTTTGTGCTCCTCTTCTCCCCTCCACCCCAAGGCTTAAAATCTGTTAAGTGTTCAGAATTTAAATCACAGATCCTTCCTCCAGAGTAAGAGACCATATTTGTTCTTAAAGAAGATGTTTTAAGAAATTAGTGTGAGCAAAAGAATGCAAATTGTCATATGGAAACTATTTTTTTCAAGGAAAAACTATATCTGGAATGGTTGTCTGGTTTAGAAAACTTCAGCTCAAGTGATGGAATCTTGACAAAAATATTAACAGGTGATATAACCAATGCTTGAAGTGGGTGAGCTGATTAGCCTTAACAGACAGCACCACAACTGAAATTAAAAAAAAGGTAAATTGTAATGTACTGCATATTTCTGAGGAAATTACTAATGTTTGAAGAAAGCAGAAATGGAGTTATCTTACCTGATTTTTTTATTGGTCTGAGTCATGTTGCCTTCCATGAAGGGGTCAGGACTGCAGGAAAACCTGTGCAGGTCACAGTGTAGTAGCCTGATTTAGTGTTGCCGTCTTCGCCTTCTAAGACCAGGTTTTGTTTGCAGGATTTGGAGCAGTATGCATCCAGCTACAGTGGTCTGATGAGAATTGAGCGGCTGCAATTTATTGCTGATCACTGCCCACAGCTGCGGGTGGAAGCTCTTAAGATGGCACTGTCATTTGTCCAGAGAACTTTCAATGTTGATGTGTATGAAGAAATCCACAGAAAGTTGTCTGAGGCCACAAGGTACTAAAAGATCATGGGAACCTGGGGAGCTTTTTTGGCTGAGTTAAGACCAATATGCCACAACGGGGGACTTTGCATGTAATACTAGCATGTTCCTTACACAAATTGTCTTTGCCCTTAGAATTTGATAGCAGTGAAATGTGTATGTTCAGGCCTAAGGTCTCATGCGTTTTTAAAAGATTAAACACAGAAGGCATTATCTCATTCTGAAGTCTTAGTGGTTTAAAAGGCTACAGGTAGATATTGAGGAGAGTTTAGTCCTTGCAACTGCTTCAAATATTAATGAACACAGTTGTCTCTCCTTAGGTAGATTATGGAGATGAAGCCTTTTCTAGATGCTCTTGTGTTCATAAATTAAAACCTTATCTAACTGTTTGCCTTGTTTTGGTTTCGGCGTTTTTTCCTTTCCCCCTCCCCCAACAGGTTTGCTGTTAAGGGTAGCCTTTGATACTTCACTTATCCATCCACACTTCCTGTCTTTGCATTATTTTTGTTGCTATGCATATTTGTTGATTTCTTGTCTGTTTTGCCCTGGGAGTCTTTACCATGTATGTGTGATAGTATGTTCATTGCTTTCTTATATGTGAAAAGGACTGTTGGTAAAAAAAACAACCAACCAAACAAAAAACCCCTCAGAATGTGTTTTTCTGTTTAAAATATTGAAAGTGAGTTCAGTGCAAGTAGATTTGTTGATCTGAGCTGGATGGAAAAAGAAGTTGGATAGTATCTGTTCAGCATAGCTTTGCTGTCAAACCGTTGCAATATAGCTGGGGAGAGAACTCGTAAACACGTGCACACTGTGTCCCATATAGAGATGCTTGATTGGATTCAATGACTCTTTAGAGTCATTAAATACTATCACAGAATGTAATAATTCATTGCAGTACTGTTATTAACTTGCTTTCAATTGATTTCTAGAGCAGGTTGTTTCTTTAAAATTAGCAATGACTTGCTTGTTAATAAAATACTTGCAAAAGATCATTAGGATAATTTTGAGAAGAATTTTTAAACACCTGTGATGCTTATGTTACTGTTTTCACTGGAAATCTTAGCAGTCTTTTCCTTTTTTTCCCCACCATCCTTGTTTTCTCTTTGGTCTATTTTGTGTATGCGGTACTGTTTGTTAGGGTAACAGTGCCAGGTACTTAGCAGACCTCTGTTGTGAAAAGTTTCCAGCATAATAGCCCCATTCAAACTCTTTCCTTTCAGAGAACTGCAGAATACACCTGATGCTGTCCCTGATAGTGGAATTGAACCCCCTCCTCTTGACACAGCTTGGGTTGAAGCTACACGCAAAAAAGCTCTGCTTAAACTGGAGAAACTCGACACAGATCTGAAAAATTACAAAGGGAACTCCATCAAGGAGAGTATCAGGTGAGATGCAGAAGGCTCTGCTGGAGCAAGGAAGAGCATTTTGCTCCTCCAAGGCACCTAACACAGGATGTCAACTGCATTCAGTGCCTTAGGTCAGTGTGTTGAGTTACTTGTTTGGAACAAACTGACTGTGTCCCTTTCTGAGCACACAGTTCATTGGTATTTTAATTCCTGTGCTCCAGGAGAGGCCATGATGACTTAGGTGATCATTACCTTGACTGTGGGGACCTCAGCAACGCTCTCAAGTGTTACTCGCGAGCCCGTGATTACTGCACCAGTGCTAAACATGTTATCAACATGTGTCTCAATGTCATCAAGGTAGGAAGGTTTGCAGGAAATGGTACTTGATATCTTTCTGATATCTGCTGTAAAGTCCACCTGTACTTTGCTCTGGTTACACCTCTTGTGTCTGCAATGATACTGCTTATCTAAGTAACACCATTTATCCATGCCTATTCTACACTGTTTCTGGCTCTCTGCAGGTCAGTGTCTACCTCCAGAATTGGTCTCATGTTCTGAGCTATGTAAGCAAGGCTGAGTCTACACCAGAAATTGCAGAAGTAAGGTCCTGCTTTTTAACTTGCATGAGTTTTCCCTTTGTTTTCTGTCTCCAAAATTTGTAAAACAATTTCTTCCTTTCTCCCTTTACGACTTGCTACGTATAAGACTCCCTTGATCTTACAGTCTGTTCTTCCTCTAATCTAGCCTCCTTGGCTGCTATACTATTTCTTTTGGGATTCATTGTTGCTTTTCTCCCATGATATGTGTGTAGGAAATCTGACTCATGGTAAAAACAGAGAGACTTCCCATCCTTAGTTCTTGCCATATTTCCTGAGACAAATAAGATGAAGTTATCTTGCTGTTAAGATTTGCAAGTTAATTATTAGGATGAAATATCCCAAGGACAATTGTAATCAAAATGGTTTTCACACTGCTTGCTCACTACTGCTTTTTCTTACCCTGTAGCAAAGAGGAGAAAGAGACAGCCAGACACAAGCAATTCTCACCAAACTGAAATGTGCAGCAGGTGAGTGAATCCTTCAGCTTCCTGTATCGTCTGCCCGTCTTTGTGCCTGTTAGCTGTCCATAGGGCTCTTTGACAACAGTGTGTGCTTGGTTTATTTTTTCTCTCAGATTTGACAGACTTTGTATTTTCTTACCAGAAATGCAAAATGTAATAAAGCTGATGAGGTAGAATGCTGACTTGTTTTTGCCATTTCTTTCTTCTCCCTAAGTTTCTTCAGAGAGGATGCCAGTGTGAGTCAACGTAGTTCAAAGGATGCTAGATACTGAGAGTCGCGTTTCACTTCAATAGTGAAGGCACTAGCAACCATGTGGGGGCCTGTCCTACTCCCCAGATTTTGCAATTTCTCCTAATTTGTATGCTGTCATAAATGAAGGACTAACTTTTTCTGGTTCCTAGGCTTGGCTGAACTAGCTGCTCGGAAGTACAAACAGGCAGCAAAGTGCTTCTTGTTGGCATCATTTGATCACTGTGATTTCCCTGAGGTGAGGACCAAGAGGGAGCTGTGTGCAGGTCTTGGAGGGGATGTAATTCTTCTAAGTATTAGGTTGTAAAATTCAGATATTGTAGTTACTCTCACAGCATTCCTGTATAGTTTGGTGGTGCTGTGAACCATGGGGTTTTTTTAAAAAAAAAAAAAAAAATCTCTGTTCTTGGGTTCTCTAAATGATCTACTCTAGATCACATAGGAATTACCTGTGAGATTTGTGTATCTATGTAGCTCAATCAAAAGACTGGCTGTTGGAATTGGTTTCTGCTCTCTTAGCAGTGGACAATCACTCCTCAGGCTCTGGGTGAATGCCTGAGAGCATGCTGAGTGGTTCCACTGCATTTGACAAAGACTAGTCTTGTCACTGCATGAAGGAAAGGCCTGGGGTATAATACTTAATTCCAACCTTCTGCCATTTTAGTAGTCAGTGACAGCTCTCTCTCTCTCTCTCTCTTTAGCTGTTATCTCCTAGCAATGTGGCTGTGTATGGTGGTCTCTGTGCCCTTGCTACCTTTGACCGTCAGGAACTGCAACGGAATGTTATCTCCAGCAGGTAAGTGATGCCTTGAGAGGAGTTTGTATGTATTGGACATCTTTTGGGACATGGGACTTTGGTTGAGATTGGATTCTGGCAGGAGTAATAACTTTCTCATACAGGAGAGAAAGAATCACTAAGCCTTAGTTTGGCTTTAGCATTAAGTGACGTTTCACTATCTAAAACACAGTGGTTAATCACAGCTGAAATTTCATAGTGTAAGTTTCCAATCCGGGTCAAATCCAACATCTACATAGCCCAATTTTCTGTCTCCATCAGTGGTCCATATCAGATATTAAGTCAGAGGGATAGAGCCCTACAGAAGGCAGCTGTGAGATAATTTGCTGTCATGTTACCACTTGTTCTGGTGTATGTTAATCATATTAATACAATCTAATAATTGTTAATACAACTTGCAGCGTAATCTAACTATGACGTATACAAGGTTAAGAGAATTACAGTCTTTGGAAGAAAATGGGTATTTATGTGTCATAGATTGAATTACAATAATACTGAATTGCTGTCAGCTAAGTGTATGGAAGCACTAATTTTAAAGTGATGTGGAAAAAGGGTTGTTACCCTGAGTTCTTTATTGGCTGATTCATAGGGTGAGGTCCCAATGTTCGGAAATCTGTGATGGAGAATTGGGAGAGCACTGAGAAAGAGCGTGCATCCCAAAGATCTCCCACACTTATGATAGACAGTTGCATGCTTAACCTACCTATGGCATGCTGTACTTAGTGAAGGCTGTGCTTTGAAGGGAACACAAAGCTGGCCAGCACAGACTACAGTGCATGCACAGATGTGGCCTATGTTTTCTGGTGGTGTATCCTGATTTTGACCTATTCCCACTCATTGTTTTGTTTTGTGTGGACAAACACTTGTACTGCTTGGTTTGTCAAAAGTCTCTTGCCTTCCTTCACCACAGCTCTGATGCTGGGCTGTACCTCTCTGGGTTCCAGGCTCCCAGCTCTGCTGAAAATGGACTATCTGGTCTGTTAGAGTGTAAATTCTTGGAATCTTCAAATGATAGTGAGAGTCTGTAACCTTGCAACTTGGAGTGATGGGATTGTGGGGAGTTTAAGTGGTCGGTTCCAATGTCTGACCACTGCCACCTTTATCTGTAGCTCCTTCAAATTGTTTTTGGAGCTGGAGCCACAGGTTCGTGACATCATCTTCAAGTTTTATGAATCTAAATATGCTTCATGCCTGAAGATGCTGGATGAAATGAAGGTGAGTTGCAGGGGAGCAGTGCAGAACAGACCCTAAAAGTTCCCTTCGCCTAGCCTTTTGTGAGAAGCAGTGACTGTTAAAAGTAGCTACTAAGAGTGTTGAGCTCTTCTGTGTCTTCTGTCTCCTGACGTGGTGAATGAAAATTGGGAGTAGTTTAGCAGTAGAGGGTGAGGAGAAATGATAAATTTTTAAAATGTATTGCTAGTTCTTTTTTTTATTCTTGTTTTATGGTATTGTCTTGCTGTAGTGTAATATCCTTAAGGTTTAAGTATATACACATATATGTTTCAGAACATAGGAATAATATATTTTTCCAGGCTGCTTCTCAGCTTCCGATGTGGGTTTTTTTGCACAGGACAACCTGCTGCTGGATATGTACCTTGCACCTCATGTCAGGACACTTTATACCCAGATTCGAAATCGTGCCCTTATCCAGGTAATTCTTCCTGTAATCCTGAGAGGCGGACGAACAGTAAGATAGGCCATCTCTTTGTAATTGCTTTTCCCATGGTTTTTCAGAGGGCGGGGAGTACACTTGGCAACTGAATATTTTCTTCTTCCTAGTACTTCAGCCCCTATGTGTCAGCAGATATGCGCAAGATGGCCACTGCTTTTAATACCACAGTGGCTGCTCTAGAAGATGAACTTACTCAGCTGATCCTGGAGGGACTGATCAATGCCAGAATAGACTCGCACAGTAAGGTGAGTGCATCTCACCTGAGCCACAGACTGAACAGCTGTACTAAGATTAGAAACTCTCCATTCCTGGGACACTTTGAAGTTGCATTCATCTGTCGTGACTGGTATTTTCAGTAGGGCTGATCTGTGTGTAAACTCAGACTCCGTGATACCTTAGCTTTGTTCCCTTGCGCAGAAAGGGCTTCCTGCTGTGGAACTCTGTGATAGATCCTGTGTACAGTTCTCTGTATTGGTTACAGATTCTTTATGCTCGAGATGTAGATCAGCGCAGCACAACTTTTGAGAAGTCTTTACTAATGGGCAAAGAGTTTCAGCGACGTGCCAAAGCTATGATCCTGCGAGCTGCAGTCCTGCGCAACCAGATACATGTCAAGGTACACGCATGTTAAATGTGGACTTTGAGACAGTGTTAAGATTTTTAATATTTTTTTAACTAAAACTATAGAAGTTGGTGAATTGAAGATTCTGGAGGGGAATGGGTTTATTGTGCTTATGATTGGACAAATTCTTACAATAGTAAATACTAAATATATAAGGAACAAGTGTTTCTGGCCAATACATTGACCTGCTTGTACAATGCAGAATGTCCTTTGAAGTTTATATGCTTGGGTTGATTCTAACTAATTCATTCCGACTAATTCTTGATACACATATCTTTTATCTTACCAAAACAAAGATTGTTTGAAGTAATTTTTTTTAGTAGAGGAAGTAAAAAATCCATTAACTGCTTGGAATATTCCTTCCAGGATGCAGTTCCAAAAGAATGCCTTTAGGGAGGATAGGCCATCTGCCACAGAATGCGTTAAATTCTGTAGTATATTAATCTCTGTGATAGCTAAATGCCAGATAGGATTCAACTTGTGGGGCCAACAGCACCTTGTACATAGTACATAAGAGTGGCTTAAAAGTTCTGGTTTGACTTTTTAGGCAGAGTTCTTTTGAACTGTAATTAAAGAAGTTGTAAATACAAAGCTTTTGCAAAGCCATCATTATGTATGAGTTGGGGGTGTGCTCTCCCCCTGCTGTTATCCTGCTGTGCTTCACCTATGCTTCATTTGGTCTCTCGGGAAGCACTCTGCAGGATATTTATACATCACTAACTAGGATGTGTTTTGGTCTTGTTGCAGTCTCCTCCGAGAGAAGGTAGCCAAGGGGAGCTTACTCCAGCTAACAGCCAGTCCAGGATGAGCACCAACATGTGAAAAACTTCGTGCACTACCAAAAGAAATGGTCCCTCCAGGACTGTACCCACTGTCTCACCCACTAACTGCTGAGCTTCTCAAACTGTCCCTGTCTCCCTCACTTCTTGCTCGGATTGAGAGGGTCAGGGCTGGTGGTGGATAATACGAATATTCCAATAACTTCAATTCTCCTTGAAAAGAAATTCTTTCTAAAAACAGCATCCCTGCAATGGGTCATCATTTCAGTTTTGTTAGAACATCTTTCTCCATTCTCCTCTTCTACCACTCCATAAAGAGCTGTCGGGTTATTCATACAGATGCTGATTTGAGAGTTTTTCAGCTGCTATTAGTTTTCTTGTTTCAAAGCTGCAAAAATAGTTAGTGTTAAGTTGAATGGGCAGGTGTGATCTAAGATGAATTTCGCTGGCCTGAAAGTATTGCCTTTATTCTGAGCAATGCTGAGCTTTCTGTTTATTCCAGATAAACTGACCAAGTGCGTTGCTCTCAATTATAGAGCTAGAGTTCTGATGGGAGAGGAGATTTCCTCTGAGAAACTCTTAATGATTTTTCACGTACACCAGAAAACATGGCACTGCTTCCATGCCTTCAGTCACAGGCCTTTATTTTAGGGTGTTATGTTTACCTGGATCCAGGTTCTTTCTCTCTGGTCTCTGTTTTTGAAGACCTGTTTCCTGATGTGTTTCCCACTTGTGCATGACCTGGCTTTGGGGTCCAGTGTTATCATAGCAGTAAATCTCTACTTCATGCAAATATTGCTGCTTGTCCAGTCTTACTGCCATAGTGTGTGATGGTTTCCCAGCATGTGCAAAAGTTGCTTCTGGAGGCATGGATAAATGCCATGAAATACCACTCAAGTCTTTGGAAGAGCTGAAGGCAGCCAATCTAGGTGCCTGCTCTCCAGGTGCATTTATTCTGCTTTTCCTTTTATAAAGGGATTAAAGGTGGCAGCCCAGGCGCGTGCATGTTCTGTGTTAATGAAAGAAGATACGCACTGAATTTTCTGAAGTCACTGCAGCCTCGCATTCATCTAATCCATAAGGCAAGCTAAGAATTTTGATCCAGCCCTGACTGGTCTGGCAACTGACTACAGATGTTACTGTTAATGTGTTAATGCTTTTTTTTTTTTTTTTTTAAAAAGTTGTTATATCTAGCGCATTAAACAGCAGGATTAAAAAGCTTCTGAGTATTTGGAGTTTTGTGTTAAAGTTGGGATTTAGGTATTTTGATCTCAAGCCATTGATTTTTTGCTAAGCTTGATGCTGTTTTGTAGGCCATTGTATTTTGCTTTCTGATCTGGTTGGAGATGTAGCTTGGATGAACTGTGAAGAAAGTCCAATTTGAGGGAATGTTCTGACAGCAAGATTACTGGACTGCATTTGCACAGCTGCAAAATTGGAACAGTGCTCTCTCCCTCTGGCTTTCCATGCTTTTTGTGATTTGGGTGCTGAAAATGGAAGCAATAGTTCCTGTGAAGTCTTTGGTTAAATGTCTTCCATTTGGCATGGAAAAATTCTCCCATTTTTGAGGGGAGAAAGGAGAGAGTTATTTAATCAAGAACTTTGAGTCAGGCATCACTGATGGCCAGTTTAGTGAGAAAGGCAAGTTGAGTGCTCAGGTAAATTGCTGTACATCCTTGTAGAAACGCTGGGAAAGTAATTTTAATGCCTTCTGCTCATGCTGAAGGAAAGCCATTCAGTCCTATAATACTACTAAAACCATTTTGCTTTCATCCTAAAATGGGCCACTGATACCATTTCTAAGGAAAAGATCTTATGCTCTGCTCTTGAAAAGATGGGTTTGCAACATGTCAGTGCATCATCTCAGCTGGCTATCTTTTCTTATGCACAGCTTCCACTCTCTTGATTTTATTAGATTACTTCTGTTCCTTCCTGGAGGCTTTCTACTGGAGGAATCCTCAATTGTGACTGGACATCTTCAGCACGCTGACTTGAGAGTCTCTGCTTTTCCAGACACCTAGTGCTTGTCCGCTCTTGGGAAGTGGCTGGAAGCGCATATCCTTCAGCAGTCGGCATGGAGCCCACAACGTGGCAACAGCAGTTTCCAGCTCTTACTGTGGCCCGAGGCAGTTCCATAGCTGGGGCAGAGGTGATCAGTTTCTTCTCTCCAGACAAAAATGCTTACAATCTCTTTTGGACAGATAGAGCATTTCTCTTTTATTGCTTAGTTCATTGGCACAATTCAAGCACAGTGTATGCTTTTGTATAGAATTATTGGCATGTAACTCTTTCCTTTAGCCTGTGAAAGAAGCTGCTGTTGCTTTAGGATCTTGTAGATGTGAGTCAGGGCTGTCCAGGCATATTTCTTCTAGACATTGTTCAACGCTTGCTTCAGTCCCAACTACCTGCCAGTCCAAAAATCAGGAAATACAACACTGCAGGGATATAGTTCTGTATAATTTGCATTCATAAGCAGTTTCCCCCAGTGAAAGATTATTCTTATCTTAAATTTCTAAGTAATTTCCCAAGTAATAAATGGGAAAATAGTGACTCACATAGAATGAATTTCCAGTGATTCCCTGTGACCACCAAGGTAATTCAGGGGATGAAGTTTTGTGGGCTCTGTAGCATGTTGGTATGTCTAGGATATGTTCAGAGGAACTTAAGTGGCTTTCATGAACTTGTGCAGCACCTTTTTGTTGATGAGGAAGGAGATGCCAGTGGTAGGCCATAATTGATGGTGTCCTCGTGCAGTGTAAATCCTGCTTTCTTTACCTGACCTAGCTAGGGGTAAAGGAAAAACAGTTGGAAAGAACCTGGTTCTTTTGGCGAAGGCAGTTTTAATTAGCAAAACTAATTTTAGTGGTAATGTAGAAACTGCCATTATGAGATCTCCGTTGGAGTAGTTGGAGATGATTGATAATTATCTGGCCAGAACTTGTCCAGCATAGTGGTCTGTGTTGCTAAGATTTGTAGAGGGAGGACTGTAAGAGGGGGAGATTATATTACCGCTTGGACTGTGGCTGGGTGCATCATCATCTGTAAGCTACTGTCGTCTGAGAAACTTCAGTGGAAGAGGGAGAAAGTAATAGAGTTCTGTCTTTGCCCCATGCTATGCATGTATGATCTGTACATTGGTTTCTGGGACTCTGCCATAATGGTCTCAGCATTACTTCCCAACTTAGTTGAAATTGCAGCATTGTTCCATCCTCTGGACAGCTCCCAAAACTGCTGCTGAATAACATATTATTTCTGATACATGCAATGTAATGCAAACTTTCAGAAAAACAAATGAGGAAACTTTAATAATAGCAACAATGCTTCTGTCAAAGACCCATCATGCATAGGTAGAAAGTGCTGGTCAAGCATTGATCTTTTTTTTTTTTTAATATTTTTTTTTTTAAGAGTAAAGTCTCAGCCAACTTAATTTGGCTATTTGAGGTCCTTATGCCATCTCATTCATTACTTTTTATATGAAGCAGATGACAGTGGGGGAGCAGTGTGCTCCACAGGACCATGCTCTTAGTATTTTTTTGTGCCACCCCCTTGTGAAAGCTGAGACTAATACAAGTCAGCATTTCGTTTTTTCAGTAGTCCATCAACTGTGAATTTGCAGTAGAGTGAAAAACACCAAAGTGGTATGGAACTGACTTCTGCTTATCTCTGTTGCTGTTAGGGAATAGGAGATGAATTGCTTTCTGCTGGGTAGCTGCATTAGCAAGAGATGGTCTAATTCAAACAAGACTTCAAGTGGCGAGACCTGAAAATCTGTTTTACGTGGTAGATCAGGCTAGGCAATCTTGTCCTTGATCCCACAGATATCACTGTTTCAGTTCTCTAATACTTCTGCAGCTATAGCTTTGACTATTATACTCCGTGTGCCTGTAGTTTATGTAACTGTGAAGTCTATGTGTACATAAGGTTTGTACCCTGTAAATACATGCTGAGATCCAGGGTTTTCAATCTTTGTTTTGATGTACTTCTTTTTGTCTTTTTTTTTTTTTTTTAATTTCTCTGATATCTCATCTCATTGCCAAATAAAGGCAGTTGGCTTTCTTTTTGTCAGGTGAACCACTACTACTTTTTCTTGTGTACCTCTGAAAATGGATTTAGATGCAAGACTCCAGTCTCCCTCAAACCCAAAGACTGAGGATCATTTTCACCATCATTCTACATGCACAGCACTGCCTTTTCCTCCCCCTACTGCCATTAAAATTAAATAGTGTGTATCTTTTTGAGAGCCTGTGAAACAGAAACAAAACAGGACATTACCTCGCTGAATTGGCAGGCTGCAGTGTTTTGATTATAGATAAACAGGATAATTAGTATATTGCCTAGCCTGAAAGTAATCTCTAGTTAGTGAGATGCAGGTGTGCCCTGCATGAATGGCAAATGGCTCGGCTTTACTCATGTTGTAATAGTGCCTCCTAATTCACAAACATTGTTTATTAAGAAATTGATACACTGGTCATCTTTACCTTACTAATTGCAAGGTTATCATCTTCTAGAATGTCTGTTGAAAGTTCAGGTTGCAACTTTTTTTTTCCATTAGCGTGGCGATTTGTAATTAGATGTACAAAGGGAGTTTGCGTTGCAGTGCCTAACTGAACAGTATTCCAGTCCTGTATTAGGAGCACTGCAGTCTTCTGCCATGTCATGGGACAGGAGCTAACAAGATAAGCGTGCATCTATCTGCATTGCCTATTACGAAATGCCTTGGAAGAGGAGGTGGGGACAAATATGCCTTAAATACTAATTCTGTATAGAAATGTGTCCATTTAGGATTCTCAAGTATAAGGCCCTTCCTGAATTTAGGAGCCTGAAGTCAGCTTGATCCTTTCTTCACACTGGTAAGTGATTCTGTGATGAGATTGTACTCGTGAGAGATGTGTTCTAAAATCCCACGGTGTGGTTAAGAATATAATCCGAATCTCTCGCATAGCACCAGTCCACTACTGTGTTGTATCAACGGATGTTTCTCATGCAAACGCCTTTTCTGACTTTGTAAATTTTCTCTGGCACAGTGAAGAGGAGAATGACTGAGCTTTCTGATGTTTTTGGGAAACTGTGTAAATGGGAAGGTGTCAGGTAAGCAGTTTGAAATTCCATGATAATGAACATTTGGCTTTTTATTAGAAGAGAGGCTTTTCAAACAGACCAGGGAACTCAGAATACTTGACAGCTTTAAAGTATATGTCTGTGCGAGGGAAGAAGTGGACTACTTCCACAGGAGGTGGGAGATGTGGTTTCAAGTTCTCATCTTTAAATAAAGCAGAGAAGCATTTTTAAACTTGGTTTTCCCACACTAGTCACTGGGCTATTTGGTAAATGCCACACCCTTTCCCACCCCCTCGGTTTCTGTGCTAGTTCCAATTCACAAGGCAAGCTAGAATAACGCCTACCAGCTTAGCGTCTAAACTTGATTTGAATACAAGGGTAGTCAGAAATGATGAAAGCTGCTGAAAGTCTTGGAGAACAAGCTGATTAAGGTTGGAAGATGCTATTCCCAGAACATCATGGAAAATATTTTGTTCAAGTAACAAGCAAATGAAATGGGA